TATTTAATTTTTTAATTTTCTGTAAATGAAAGAGGTTACATCTCCCGTTTGGAAAGAATTAAACTCAAACCACAAGTTTTCAAGGCCTTGAAAGGGCCTCTTATATATTAAAGCTTAAGTCTAAATGCCTCCCTGATTTCAGCTATTTCTGAACTTTAACTTTTTATATTTTTATTATGCAAAATCATAATTTATACACTTATAATTTTACTTTTGTACAAAATTTAAGTTAAAATACGTAGGCTATCAACTCACTTGATGTAGGTATTGTTAGTTTTTGACTCTTGTTTACATATAAACATAATTATAATTTATCTTTCAAGTTAAACATCGGGCATGAAAATAAAATATACTTTCTTTTAATTGCTGATGAGTTAAGTGAAGATAAGAAAACAACTTCAAGTGGATGGAAATTTTACATCATAAATTAAGAAAAAAAAAACAGGGAAAGCCTTATAAATATCATATATAACAATTTTATTAATATATATATAAGTTGTTTACCTTGAATAAACATTTTTGAATTTCGATATATCTTAGTTATCGTTTCAGACTAAAAAAAACGTGATTTTAAATTATTAAAAATATTATTAATAATTTAAAATCACGTTTTATAAATTAAACTGTTTACCTAATTAAATCTGTCGTTTTTAACTGTTTTTTAAAATAGTATTTTTATGTAAACTATATTTGTTCATTCAGGTGTTTGTTTATCCGTAAAATTTCGTAAAAACCAAAAGTAATTTACTCTAGTAAGACTTACGCTATAGTGTGCGAATTATTTTATATAAGTAATTTGTAATAAAGTTTATAATTATCATACAAAGGGGTAGGATTTATACACTTAAGCTAAACGATTTAAAGCTTAGGGCTTTATGTTTTTAAATTTATTACTGTTTGATGAATGTTAAATGGCCTTATGCGTCATAGTTCGAGGCCACAATAATTCTAAATCCTTTCCTGGTCATACGTTTCCATTTTTGTATATTATTTTAGTTTAATTTATGATTAGTTAACATGAAAGACTAAACGTTTCAGGAAATTATTTGAATTATAAAATAATCATTTTAAAAATGCACGATAATTTTTAGAATACGCAAATTTTAGAAGCTGAAAATTCCAAAATTTAAGAATCTTTTTAAAATTCACTTTGTGAATTCGTCAAATTATTAAGAAATCATATTTTACTGAAATAAAAATCATTAGCAAATTTGTTTTGTTTATTTAAATTCCATTCATTATATTATTTCTTGCTTCATTTGTATATAGCATTTTAAGTAGGGCCATCGAGACGGGGGAAGCTGGGAAACCCGCAGTGGTTCCCACTCTAGTAAATTAATGCTATTTTTACTAACAAATAAAAAACAACATAAAATTATTAAGACTGCTTATTATTAATAAAGAAACATTTTACGTATTTCATTTGTTCGAAAACAAAGGGCTAAAAGATCCCGCTAAGAAGCAAAAGCGGCTCGACCTACTCTACGCCGAGCCCCGTACAAATTCTCGATGGTCCTGATTCTACATCGAGGATTATTCAGCTATATCTGTCTACAGTGTCGATTCTTTATGTAGAAACAGGCTTTTATATAGATCCTCGTTTTTATGCTTGTCGGCTTGACCGTAGGGCTACTAATTAGATCTTACAACTTTTTTATAGTATTAAGCATCACAAGACAGGAAATAGGTTACATTATATAAATAAACTTCAGTCTTGTATTAACTTTTATGCTATATTAACTAATCGTGGACTGGCCTGGGACCATGCTTATTTAATATAGGTTAAAATAGTGATTCTCAACAGTGTGCCATAAACTTCTCATGGGTGTGCTATAAAATTGTATTTTAAAATGCTAAGTTTTTGTCTATTTTTTAATATTACTGTATTTGTTGCCCCAAGTAGCCGAGTGGATAAAAACCACTGAACACTGGTCACGGGATTGCGCCTCATCAACAGGATAGTACAATCTCGGATGGAGTTTTCCGGGGTTTCTTCACATATCTAACACCTAAATAATGTCCAGTTTCTTTTAAAAGTCTTTCCGGGAAGCATTCATTCTCCGTTGGCAGATCACCCATGTGTTGCGTTGCCTTATCCCATCAATCCAATATTGCCGGCATTTGTATATTTTCTTACATAAAACTGCAGATCTTCAACGTCACTCTTTTCGTTTATATACAGTATATAAGATACAAATATATCATTTAGGCTATACATACCATTTATTGGCTCGTTGTTATGCCACCAAAAGTTAAGAGTATGCCTCTAATTTTAAAAGATTAAAAACTTAAGAGCACATAGGCCTAATCTAAAACTGCTACTATCTTTCCATATAGTCTGAAATAATAATATGTCAATAATATCGATAAAATTCTACAGATAAGCGATGTATCGACTAGCAAAAAATTTTAGTATTTAGTATAGTATTCTTTTAAAATTCAATTCTTTAAGTATAATTTTTATTTGAACATTAAATAAATATAATATACTGCATAATAAATGTTCTGCAAAAACAAAAACTTTTGTTTTACATGATTATATAATTTTTATTTAAATTTATTTATATTACACCAATTAACAATGAATAAATGTACTGTATCTGTAGCAATAGATATTTAAATGTAATTTAAAAATTTCAAATAGAAAAAAAAAATACAGAAAATCATATTCGTAATCATATTTAGAATAAACTGTCAATTAAAAATATTTGGTGTAGCTTTGTAATATATGCAGCATACTCACCGAAATACATGTTTCAATGATCATTGGTTAGAAATGTGATTGTCTTAACAACGATTGGCTGGATAAATAAATTTAAATGAAAAATATTCAAATAAAAAAAAGTAATTATTTATAAACAATTATTTTAAGTAAGAAAATCAAGATCAAAAATAATAATAATTCGATATTAAAACTCAAACAGAAATTACATAGCAGCTAACGAAACTAAAACATAATGCGTAATCATTATGAAATATTGCTTTTGTTTTTAAAACTAAAAGAACTAAAGATATAAATCAATTAATAATCTATCTAAAAATTGTTTTCAGTTTGCAATAAAGAAAGTTTACAGATCTAAATTTGTAACACGTGCCTAGGTATTAAGGATTGGACATAATCCAATAAATATTTACCGTCCCACATCTCACAGTCAGAGAGGCCATGAAAAGTATGACCTGTTTAAGTTATAAATAAGGCAAATATTATGAAAAATCTGATGATTGGCGCCATTAAATTAACAAATAGCAAAATATCTAATAGAATAATTTATAAGAACATAATCTTAGTTTTAAAAGTCTTTCCTCTGGTAGAAACTAAGAAATAATTTTTATAAAACAATTTAATGACTCAAAAATTAATTATTAGATTAATTAATTTATAATTATAAATTTATTTTATATGAACATAATTTTAAAAATGCCTGTTAAGTTTCTTCGAGGATTTACATGCAGTAAGTTACTTGACGCCCACTTATGAAATATTTTCATTATACAATTTGATATAAATCAAATTGTAAAAGATTATAAAAATTATTAAATTTAGTATATTATATAACTTTAATTATGTTTTTAATCTTCAAATATTTTAATTCTTTTTATTAAATAAAATGAAATGAAATTTATTATTGTAGCTTAAATCGCAGCATTTAAAAAAATATTTTTAAAATGCTTCATAGACAAAGGTACTTAAAAATTATACCCATATTATTTAACATTAAACCTTAAAAATTTATTAATATTTTGACATTCGTAACATGAATTATTTGATAATAAATCATTTATTTATTAATTGAATTAGTCGCTATTGTGGCATTTCCACAGACTAAACAAAAGCTGAAAAGGAACGTTTTTCAGATGCAAAATAACAATTTATCTTAACGGACGTTCAAAAGAACAAAAGGAAGAGTAAAAAAAAAATCAAATAATTGTAATAAATAATTTTTTTTTAAAGAATTGCTCCCTCTAAAGGGCCTTACAGGGGTAAAAGTCGCCCCTGATCATGTTTTTTTCTGTACAACAGATCAGATAAGAGAACGAAGGCGATCTTAATAATGCCCACTTTGTGGAAGGGTCTAACTAAACCGGAAGCTATTAATTGTCATCGTTAGTAATAAATTTAATTGGTGTAATTTTCGAAAAACGTCACAATATTTGTTCATTATAAGTAGTAGCGTGTTATTCGACATACGAAAATAAGAACACGCCCTCTAAAAAAAAATTCCTTTAATACTCAAATTCGAAAAGATTCAGTATAATTATTTTTACGATTAGGTCGTATAGGATATAAATCGCAGAAATTAACCTAATTTTGACGTTTTTATATTAATATAAATCTATGTAATGATTTATTTTCATAAATATAATTCGGGATATGACGTAACTAAACAAAAATTCAAAAATAAATAAATAAGCGAGAAACCGAGTACATATTTATCACACTAGAGGCGCTTTACAAGATTTTTTTTTCGATTTATAAAATTTATAAAAATTTAATAAATTTATATAAAACGATTTAAGAATCAAAATAAACTTTTATTTTTACTATATTAATAATAATTAGAAATAATAGATAGTTAAGTTGTTCGGACGCTTATATATATAAATTTTTATAACTTGGCGTAAAATTAATTATAACGTGTTTGCGCCCTGTTATAGTCAATAAATAAAGAGTTTAGTGTATAGTGGCACTTATATACCACACCCAAAAAATGCCGATAGTGCACGGTCCCGTCATGAAGTAGTGTCGGCGAGGTCGTCGATGTTCTGGTTTACAGTTGACCCACAGCCTCGACTGCAGCAACACTTCGTTACCGAACCGGGAGATGACATCACCTAGTCCACATCAATTAGTACTGTAATAAAATCGATCTTGCGCTATTCCTACCGATTCCGGTAAGTTTTAAATAATATTAATTTAAAGTAAATAGTAAAAAGTAAAGGTTAACGTCATATACGTCTACGTCTATTCCCCTTTGCGTCTTTTGTCGGGGTTGGGTGGGGCAACGTTCTTCATCCGCAGTGTGTTATTCGGCTGCAGAAGAGAATTGTTCGTTTTTAATGAAGTCGAGAGTAGGCGTGGAGAAGGAAAAGGGTGTGTTGTTAGTTGTAAACTGTTTCCTGGATCATCATCCGTTGAAGTTCGATTAAAGTAAGTAAAATAAATCCGATCTATCGAACATATAGTAACATGGCCGACGGGGGAGAAGTAAACAAGAAGGGTTCCCCTCTTTTTTTCCTACACTAGCAATCGTCTGGTTCGGTTACTAACACCGGGTGGGGTTAGAGCACCATTAAGTCGATTTATATCAGGTAAATAGCGTGTTAAATTATATATTTATGCATCTTTCTATCCGATATCGCCTAAGAAAACACGTTCGATCCTTCACATTCGGCGTACTTCGGTGTATATTTGTTATTGGAGATGCCTCACCCCAGCTATAATAGCCATTCGGTCGTCATCGATTTGCTTTACTTGCTTATTCTTCCCCGTCTGTTGAATAGTACATTGTATGTGCTTATAAATTATTTAATCCAAGCGTAATTTTATCAAATTAAAATCATTTAAACATTATCTTTATTGTTCCGAGCATCCCAACTTTACGAATCTAGGCTACTGCGGTACGTGGAATGTTATGTATTCCAATAGCGTAAAAACTTGGTTAAAATCAATCTTACATCAACTTAGGATCGGCTTCCTTGTGATTAATATATATATAAGGTTTTTTTTAATAGTTTAGTTGATTGTGCAATTATATGATTCATCAGGTTGTTTAAAGCTATGCTTACATTATATCTATATATTAAATTTAGCTCTGTTCTTTTTAGAAAATATTCCAGAAAAATCTGTTTAAAATTTCTATAAATTAATTTTTTAAAATTTATATATGATTATAGTTTTTAATGTATATGTTTTCTTCTTTGAATTATAGTATAAAATTGGTTTCAAGGTTTAAGTTGTTAAAATGGTTTAAATTCTAATTTGTTATTTTTTTCTTAATAAATTATGCTTTGCGTAAATATAAAATGACACAAATTCTATAAAAGTGTATAGCATTTTATAAATTGTACAATACTTATATTTTTGTATGTATATAGTATAATGTGTTAATAATGTTCTTTTGATTAGACAATGTCTGTAATAAATGCCATCTGCTAGAAGAATGATAGATTTGACCTCTATTTTTCATGCATTCTTTTTATGAATTTTTATTAAGCAAAAGTTTATATCTTTTGTTAATTTTATATGTATATATATAAAACTGCATTGCTTGAGAAATTTCAAGGATGGAGAAAGGAACTTCTATTAAAGTTCCTCATCCTTTACTTGAATTAAACATTGCCCCAATTAGCAAACCGCTAGAAAGATAATTATCACTATTACTCAATGATTAAGTAATGCCTTTTGGAAGTATATCTTGAAGGCAAAGTTCTATTTGATGATAGATGTTACTTTTTTAAGTTTATTTTTATTTTATTTTTTAATGCTTGATTTATTATTTTAAGAATTTTGTTTTGGATTTGTTTATATATAAAAATTCTGCATTTTCATTTTTTCAATAACATATTTACACATCCTATTTATTATATATGTTAATGTAAAAGAACAAAAATTATACAAGTATGTATATAAATGTTATAACAATATATGTAAATCTAATGAATATTTACACGTTAAGTTTGAAAGAAAAAAAAATCTAAAAATATTATTACACAGCAATTAAATACATTTTTAAATTAAAAATCTGTGGTTTATAGTGTGAATTAATTATTTTGCTAATGTGATTGATTTTTCTTTCACAATACACATATCACCATTAATGATCTTCCTTTTCACTAATAAAAAAAAATGATCAGATTGGAGACAATTTGTAGCATTAATAACTTTTGTCTAACAAATGAATGAACATTCTGAATTAAATTTAATATATATTATTTAGAGTATAAAAGGTAAAATTTCATTATTTTAAAATTTAAGTACAAGTAATAATAATAAGTCAATCAATTTAATTTAATAAATTATTTTTTAGCAATAAAATTTAAAAAAATTTGTCTATTAAAGATTTTTTAATGATTCTCTGTATTGCATATAATTTATGCTATTTTGAGCTTTCTGAAATTTCTATTTTTTTGTGTCTGAGCTAAAATATTCAATAGATCGTTAAAAGACATTTAAAACAGTACATTTTATCAAGTCATTGAATAGGAATATTTTTATAAAATATTTTTTTATTATATGAATAAACAATAATATATTGTACATGTTTAATAAATTGTTGGTATATGATAATGAACTGAAAGAAAATTTTTATCAATAAAAATTTATATGTAGATTAATAAATAAATAAAAAATACAAAGGTAACATAACCTGGTATATGTAAATCTGAGTCTGAGTATAACTGAAATGCTGCACTTTAGATTCTAATTTAAATATCATTATATTCTTATTCAGATATTAAAGTGTTTTTAATTAACCTAGTTATAGTATTGTGAAAANTAAATAAATTTAAATGAAAAATATTCAAATAAAAAAAAGTAATTATTTATAAACAATTATTTTAAGTAAGAAAATCAAGATCAAAAATAATAATAATTCCTGGTATTAAATTTAGACTTAATAAATTTGTTATTATATAACATCTATTAAATTAAATAAAGTGAAGAAGAATCAGTCATTTGGAGTATGTTAGATAAGTACCAATTTTACATAGTAAGTTTCTCATCAGTTTGAATAACAACCTTTAAATAATAGATATGTGATAAAGAAATTACTGATACTTATGATATAGTTAAAAAAATTAATTTGCATTTAATTTATAGAAGAAAAAGGAGGAAGATGTGTAACATTAGTTGATTAGTAAACCAGTATTCCTGCCTGCTGGCTAATTTAATGTTGGGGGTATTTCCTGTAAGTAACAATTATGTAGGTAACTCTGTTTACTGACATGTTATCCAGGCATTGAAAAACAAATATTTTAGCTGATATAATAATAAATATTGTACTTTGATCAATGTAATTAATTATATTTTTGAAATATTATAAGTTTACATATTGTTAGATGATCCATTTATTTTATTTTCACAGCTTTTATTAAAAATATTAGATTGATTTTTTTCTGAAAACGATGTTAAAAGGTAAAGTACATTAAATAAGAGCTTTCAAAATGAAGTGGTGCTTAAAGAAATATTTTAGTTACTTGATAACATTATAAATATTGATTTTGTAAAGTATGCAAATAAAATGTACATGAATAGAAACAATTTCATTCTGATATTTTAATTGTAAAATTTATTAAAAATAAATATCTGTAACTTTTAATAAGTTAATAAATTGTTGGTATACAATAACAAATTAAATGAAAAATATATGTCAATGAAAATTCACATATTTACATATTAATAACTCATCAATTCCTGGGATATAAAACAAACAAAACACAAAAAGTTAAACCTTCATCAAGGAATCAGCTTAATTTAATCTCCAAAACATTTTCAGGAAGAATTTCGTTCCATTATCAGCAGTACACAATACATCTTTTTGAACATTTTTTTGGTACAAGATACAGCCAATGTTCCTTTCCATGTTTTTTCCATCACATTTAAATTCAAAATCATCAGACACCAACTGTTTGTTCTATTTTCTTTTCATCAATTTAATTTGCTTGTATTATTATATGATCTACTTCTCTTAACATCCTTCTCTCCATGTAAACAATATGTTGACTAACACGCCAAAATTAATTAATAAACAAAAACAAAAACACTGAGTTCGGCGTTATATGCGTTTTATTATTGCTAGTACTTTCGACGAGCTTATTGTCGTCGTCCTCAGGCGATTTAGACAAAAATTATCGAACACAAAATAGAACGCGTAATATAAATTGAAATTGTGCTCCAATTCAATTTTCCTTCTCTCCAACTTCAAACTTAGACCTTTGCAGTTTTCTATAACTTTTTTTTAGATATTGATATATTTCATATAATTAAATCTTAATAAATAGATATGTATATTGATTTTGATAATTTTCCAAAATAAAAATGTTATCATCATAATTTATTGGAAAATTTTAAGTGATTTTTTTTAATAATTAAAATAGGAAACTGATAATTTTTTAAAAATTATCAAAAAGCTTCCTATTGGATAGTTGCTAATGTATCTTATATATATGCATACACACATCAAAGTAAAAGTAAATTTATCATTTAAAGGCATCTGTTAAGCATCAATGAATCTAAATGTATTGCCCTAGGGAAGTAAATTTTCAAAATAATGATACTGAGCAAACTATCAGTAGAAATGATTATTAGTAGAAGAATATATGGTGTTTTTATATATAATTGTTAGATATATAAAAAGTAATTAATTTTTGTTTTTAATATAAATAATGATATATAATGCCAATAATAAAACTTTTTTCTTTGCTCAATTGAAAAATAGATTTATATATTATTATTTTAATATAAAACACAACCAATTTTTAGGAAGCAAGAAAAATATATGTTTTTTTAATCCAAAAACAAATATTTGTATAAAAATAGTTCTTTATTGTTTAATAATTTTTGTAATATATTTTTTTTTAAATTAAAGTAACTATATTTGTAATTAGAAAAGCTTCAGAATTGTCAAAATGATTTTAAAATATATATTTATTTATGTTTATATATGTTTATTTAAAGAGAGGCTCAAAAAATGTTATTTTGTAGGTAATTACCATAAAATATTTAAAAATTTTTAATTTTTCACATCTTAAAATATTGATTTCAGTTAAGGATAATAACTTTGAATGTTTCAGTTCCTAAAAATATAACATTGCAAGCTTTCTGAAATAATCTTATAATCTACTTTCGGAATTTTTCTCTTGCATAATTCATAATTAATGAACTTAAGAAAAAATTTATATAATTATTACATTCATTTTATTGGGACTTTCTATAATTATTAATAAAATTTCATTATTGTTATGTAATTTATTTTTTTATAAATATATTTATTAGATATTTTAAAAATATTTAGTGCAGTTCTTTTACTTGTATCCTTCATGGAATGCTATCTATTTAGGAGTATTCACAGTACAGCAAATAGTGAAACATGAATAGAAATAGGAGGACATGAGAATACAAAGCAAACATAATGTTACTGATTGATGGAG